AGTGAACTCACTGGTTCCAATACTGCTGAAATCCCCAACCTCTACAAGACTGTGGTCACTTGTTGATACTAGCTCCATTTCCTCTCCATCCTTTTCATCTAAAATCATCTCATCTGGCAGGATCATAATAGTGAAGCGATAGCAACTCCTGCTCCTAGCCTCTCTAACCCCGAACACCCTGTAGTCAAATCAGCCATATCACCAGGAGACATGAGAGAAGGTGAAGAAGTTCTGCTGCTCCTATTTCTGTCTCCACACTCCAGAATGGTGGCCTGAGAAAACCAACATTTTCTCACTATAGAAGAGATAAAAAAAGTCAAAGGGCATCCTGGGATGGAATAGTGCAAGGGGTATGCTCAACTGGTGATGAATAAAGAAAGAAAATATGACAAAGTGAAGCAGAAGTCAGGATAACATAGGTTGGTTCCTTTCTACTTGGAAGTGAGTACATCAGTAGCTCCACTAGGACTTAAATATGGGCCAAAGACATTGCGACCTCTCTCCCAAACACCTCAAGAGATGAGGAGGCCTATGAAGTTTTTGTTCAGACTGGCTTCCAACGAGAAGGAAGTGCTAAGAGGACTTTAGCAGCCTCAGCATTCTCAATGCTGAAGTGCGCTTCAGTTTTTAAAAAGCAAACGCAAGACACAAGCAGGTTCAGTATAGTTGGGACACCCTAGATTTTTTTCCAGTGTTGCATACCAACTCTCCACATAGCACTAAAATATCTAAGGCTTCCACTTCTGCATTTGTACATTTTCATCTGCTTCCTGAAGATGTGATAGACAGCTCTTCCTTGTCTGAAGGCTGCCCCTCCTTTCTGCCAAGTTCATGCTCATGTGTGGCACATTTAGAAATTAATTTCAAACAAATATCAAAAGTTAAAGCGATTGACATATATTATCAGTGGTATCATGAATTGTTTCTTCTTGTTTCATTACTGAATGCAGTATAACCCTTCCTTGAATTGTTTTGGAACAGACATGAGATTATATAATGATACAATTGCTATTTGTTATCAACTATGGCTAAACAGTCAGTGGCATATTAGCCATTATGAAAATATCCAGTCAGCAGTTGTGTGAAACAAAGGCAAGCAGGCAAGCCGGCTGATTTACTGATAGACATGTGATTTACAATCCATAGTTTTTGCATTCCTTGGTTACTCAGCATCTCTTAGGAATGGAAGGTACCTCTCACTATTGTAGTATTAGTGTATTACATTTGTATCTGGAAGGGATAGCTTGGATGAGAGGATCATGAACAGAATGGGTGTGTATTGCCTATCAGAAATTTCAGCTTCCTTACATATTGAAAGGATCACATCCAATACTAGTATGAGCCATGTGTTGACCAATCCACAGGAACTGGAAGTGAATCCAAAAATGAACTTACAAGTTCCTTCCTATAAATACCATGTACGTAATTGTGCAGGAAGAAATTGTTGACTAACTTTTTAGGCAAGGATTTCTACTTAGGGATGGGGCCAAGTTTCTGTTTTTCAAAAAGTATCTGAGATCAATGGCTAATAATTGCAATGCTGTATTTGGCAGTATCTTCATGGATTTCTCTATGTGGACAATACATGCATGACTGTTTTGTAAGGAGCAGTTGCCTCTCCCTTCCAACTTTCCTGTTGCCTGTCTTGAAGGGCTGACAGTTTGCCTATCCAAATACGACAGGAGAGTCAATGACATAGTTTCATGCCTTGTAGATTCACAGATGCTAACGGTACTAGCTTATTGTTATAAACAGTATGATGGAACAGATAAAGCATAATTCAACTCAGCAAAGTAATTGTCAAAGAAGGTTGTTGTATTGTTTTGTATTCTTAAAAAAATCCAAAAGTCAACACTGTGCATGGCGCCTTGTTTATTAGAAAAACAATTTAATTAGTTTGGTTTTTAAAAAAGTTATGAATTCCTTAAATTAGGAAATTTTAGTATTCTGATTTAAAACCAGTGTTTTTGCCAACAGCAAGAAGTGTAATGTTTTGTACCTGTTTGTCATAGCGAAATTCCTCATTATAATTGTTTTCCAAATCTGAAAATAAGATTTGATTTAGCAAGATTTGAATGTCTTATTTAACTTTGACCAAATACAGTTACAATGAGATTTTGTGTGGCAACTTCATCTTAATAGAGAAGCCTATGCACACATTTGGGAATGAAACCAATATCTATTCTACACATTATTATGTCCCATTGAAATCCATATGGCTTCCTTCCAAATAACTGAGTGTAGGATTGTAATTTTCCTGTTAGATCCATATGTAAATCATGGGTTATTAGGGTTAAAAAGAATTATTTCACTGTATTACTCAACAGTATCCTAATGAACGTGACCATAGAACAATGGTGGTAATTATTTCAGATCAATTTATTTATTAAATTTATATACCACGCATCTCCCTGATAAGGTGAGAAATATATAGTTAGGGAATAATTCTTCCTGTTATGATTTCAAATTGTTATTGATGGATTAATAGTAATTGGTCATGGGCTCTGTCCATAATTTCAGTTTAGAGAAATAACCATTGTAAATGTTGTCTCACGCATAAAGGATCCTAATTGGTTCCAATTTTGTTTGTACTTTTCTTTAAAACTGTTTGTTCTTATGGAATTTTTTTTTTCAAAGATAATTTTTATTAAATTTTTAACATTTTACAAAAACAAAACAATCTTCCCCCCATCCTCCCCAACCCTCCCATTCCCTCCCCCGACCTTCCCAGAGCTGGATATAGGCTTAATTAAAATTTCATCAAAAAATCTTAAAAAGAGATATAAACCATAAATAAATCTAACAGTTAAAAATCTAAATACATTAATTAGAAAAATTATAAAATAATTAACAATAGTATATATATATAAAAGAAACATGAATACAAAAGATAAATGTTTAAAAAAGAAAAGAATAAAAAAAAGGAAAAAAGAAGAACAAAAAAAACCAAAATATTCCATTTTAAATATAAATTATTAAAAAACTAAATAATATTTTTTATATCTAACTTATATTGTATAAAATCTATCCATTTTTTCCATACCACAACATACTTCTCTTGCAATTGATCCTTCAAAAAAGCCGAAATCTTTGCCATTTCCGCCAAATAAGAAACTTTAAGAAACCACTCTTGCAAAGTAGGCAAAGATTCCTTCTTCCAATATTGCCCTACTAACAACCTTGCGGCTGTAATTAAATTTAACATCAGTGTAGTCTCCTTAGTATCACAATCAATAACAATACCTAACAAAAACAATTGTGGGGTAAATTTTACCCTCCTTCTAAAAATTCTTTGAATATTCCACCATATCTTAATCCAAAAGGCTTTTATATTTTTACACGACCACCAAATATGATAATAAGTAGCATCCAAACGTCCACATCTCCAACATTTAGGCTGTAAGTCAGGATACATACGAGACATTTTTTGTGGATCAAGGTGCCATCTGTAAAACATTTTATAAAAATTCTCCTTTAAATTCTGGGCTTGTGTAAATTTAACATTTCTCACCCAAATAGTTTCCCAAGTATCTAATAAAACTGGTTCACCAAAATTTTGTGCCCATTTAATCATACATTCTTTAACTAATTCTGCTTCTGAATCCAATTCTATTAACACCCCATAAATTCTCTTAATGTGAGTTCGTCTTTGATCTTTTACTTGTTTAAAAAAATTCTCATCTTCTCTAAGCAAACCCACATTACAATTTACCTTCCACCTATCCACAATTTGTCTATATTGAAACCATGAATATATAATATTTTCTTGTGCTAGGTCTTCCAAAGATTTTAACTGCCAATTTTTACCATCCCATCTAAGTAATTGTGCATAAGAAACACTATCCATCTTAACTCCTCTCCTTATCCCCTCTATCGCATGCCATGGTATGGCCCATAATGGAATTTTAGAATCAGTTCTATAATATTTCCTCCAAACCCGAAGTAAAGAAATCCTTATAATATGAGATTTAAAAACCCTATCAACCTTTTTATTAAAAATTAAATAGGCATGCCATCCAAAAAGTAAATCCCAACCCTCCAAGAGGAGTATTTCTGCATTTGTTAAATTAACCCAATCACTAATTAATGTTAAAACCACAGCATCATAATACAATTTCAAGTTCGGTACCTTGAGTCCACCTCTCTCACGAGTATCTTGCATAATTTTAAGTTTTACTCTTGACTTTTTCCCTGCCCAAATAAATTTGTTGATACCTTTCTGCCATTCATTTAAATTAACCTCATTCTTTAAAATAGGTATCATTTGAAATAGAAAAAGAAACTTTGGCAGAACATTCATTTTAATCACCGCAATTCTTCCCAGAAGAGATAATTGCAACTTCTCCCAATTTTTCAAATCTGTTTGTATCTTGACCCACAGCTTTTCATAATTATTTTTATACAATTTTGCATTAGAGACAGATAAAGTGTTCTTATGGAATTAACATTAATTTTTAATGTGACTGAAAAGCAAAACAAATGTATTCTCATTCACTGTTTGTATGTGGAATAACCCAAAATATAAGTGGAAGAAAAAACAAATTCCAATCCTTTAATTTCTGCTGTTCATTTGTCTGTCAGGCTGCTCTGTTGCCCTCCTTCTCATTGATAAGGTATTTTTATAAAGAAAAGGAGGAAAACCTTTGTATGTTATAGCTTTTTTAGCCCCCCCCCCCGCTAGTTTGCAACAATATGTAGTTACATTAATATACACAACACATTACTGATTGAATTGGGGTGTCTTGCCATCCTTGCAATTCCTCCAGTTGACCATGTTCTTCCCTGAAGTTTCCTTCATCCCCAAGGACCCTTCTCCTTTTGCTTTATGGTCTTCAAAACCTAATTCAAATTGCTTATAATTTTTATCATCCCAGAAAAGCAGGATAACTGGATTTGTCTTCTAGGAAGCTCTTTGTAGGAGAAATTCTAGAGGTGCTGTTATTTGTACCTTAAGAAAAAGCTTCATCCTAACATATGTATCCCTTGGTTTTTCTCCTCAGGATGGGAGAAGCAGCTTTATTGGCCATCAGCTTGGCGGAGTCATGGAGCTGCCAAACAGCAAGGACCCAAGGGTCAAGTCAGCCAGAGCTGTCCAAATCACTTACTACCTCCAGACTTACCCTTCTGCAGCCCAGGACCTCATCAGTGAGAAGTGGGAGAATGAATTCTGCAAACTGATACGCGAGCTGCAGCTCCATCACAAGGATCTACAGCTGCATTCTCTGGCCTCCTTTAGTTTGTGGAGGGACTTTCACAAGACCAGCATCCTAGCCAGGGGCAAGATCTTAGTGAGCCTCATGCTTATCCTGTTGGTGGCCATCCTCTCCAGCTCCATGAAAGATTGCCTGCGCAGCAAGCCATTTCTTGGGCTCTTGGGAGTGCTCACAATCTGTATCTCCAGTATTACTGCTGCAGGGATATTTTTCATTACTGATGGAAAATATAATTCAACTCTGTTGGGAATCCCTTTCTTCGCAATGGGTAATTATTTATCTTTTTAATAACAGGATTAGTGTTGCTGAATGACAGAATTGTAAATAGCTCCTGTCCTATGTTGTATAAGTACAGCTATCTCTCGATTGATTTGCCTGCAGCTTATAAATCACCCTAAGCAATTGCCCCATCTCTTTGTTAAAAGAGAAAACACTGAGAGGGTAAAATGATTGGAACCAAATCTCAACCAAGAGGCAGATCTTTTATGGATCCCAGTTATAAAATGAAGAAAAAATGTGTTTTTTTTTTAATTAGAGAGTTGCTGAACTGCTTTTGAAAAAAAAACTCAATCAGAACATCAAAGAAGAGGGCAGGGAGGAGATTAAAACAACTCTAGAAGGCAAAGTGTCAAATATGGGGACAAAAAGAGTATAATTTGCAAAGGAAGTTAACATTCTGACTACATGCATGTTTATTGATATAAAGTCTCTTTCTATGAAGTACGATTTATGCTTTTGCAATGTGTTTAGTCATAAATAATGTACAGGTAGTCCTCGACTTACAATAGTTCATTTAGTGACCGTTCAAAGTTACAAGAGCACTGAAAAAAGTGATTTATTACCATTTTTCACACTTACAACCGTTGCAGCATCCCCATGATCACGGGATCAAAATGGAGACTGTTGGCAATTTACTCCTACTTTTGACGGTTGCAGGGTCTCCGGGCTCCCCTGATTCCCTTTTGTGACCTTCAGACAAGCCAAGTCAATGGGGGAGCCAGATTCACTTAACAGCTGTGGCAAGAAAAGTCATAAAATGGGCAAAACTCACTTAAGAACTGTCTCACTTAGAAATGTGGGGTTTAATTGTGCTTGTAAGTTGAGGGCTATCTGTATAAAGCACCCCAAATAAATTACATTTAGGACTACTCTACAACTGTTGATCTCTCTCTCTCTCTCATTCTCTCTCTCTCTCACACACACACACACACACACGCACACACGCACACACACAGAAAACCACAAACACACACATGGAAGCTAATCCTTTGACCATAATGAGATTTTGCTTTTAATTAAATATTCTCAACATAATTAAACATCATATATTTTCCAGGTTTTTTTAAAATTATGACATTATACATCTTCTATAATCTCTAGCTCTCTGAAGTTAAGGCAATTGCCAAGATGTTTGCAATAAGTTATTATGATGCCATTTATTTCAATTAAATAACAAATATCATGAAACCATCCTAGTTTTGAAGCAAATAACATGTATTTGGGCAGGCTTAATTTAAATGAATGGACTGACATGATCAGCAAATCAAAACTGAAGCGATAAGCAAAGGATGAGTTTTCTGTCAGTCAGTCTTTAGATTGAAATAACTGATCTTGTTCTGTAGAGATAGAGCATATGTTTGGCCTTTAGATATTTTCAATGGGAATACACTTTCCATTTGATTTCCAGGTCCTTCTCATTTAATTATACATGGTACTTTTATAGATCACCATGGGCAAAGAAGACTATTTTTAGAGAGTTATTTAGAGGTGGAATCTACTGCTAGAGTCAATGGGGACCAAATACTCTTATTTTAATTTCGAGACAGGTATCTTTCTCTTCAAAATCGTTAACAGAATTTCCATGTAACTAGAGAAAGAAAGAGAGCCACTTTGGTGAGCTAGTGAAGGTGCTGGCCTAGAAACCAGGAGAGTGTGCATTCTAATTCTGCCTTAGGCATGAAAGCCAGCTGGGTGACCTTGAGCCTGACACTTTCTCTTAGCCCTAGGAATTAGGCAAGGGCAAACACCTCCAAAAATCTTGCTAAGAAAACTGCAGGCAACTGCCATAATTCCGAACTGACACAAAGACACTCATTCATTCACAAACACACAAACAAATGAAATAAAACTACAGAGCAAATGTTTCTGAATTCTTGTAAGATAAATTTGCACAGCAGTCAAAACAATAGTTAAGAGCTTTTCACTGAGGATATATAGACTGTTTCATTGTTTAGGATATTCAGAGATATGGATACATTCAGCTTTTTATATTTAAGGAACTGTAAGATGGTTTAATTTAAGAAAACTTTCACTGCTTGTATCTGGAAATATAGCAATGCATACCACATCAAGGATCAGCTCATTAAGGTTGAAAGGACCATGCTTCATGGCAGAGATAAGCTGGCGTGGTGTATACATCATCCTTAATAGGACAGTGCCAAACTGAACTCTGAATACTTTCAAATGCTAGCAGTACTAGGTGAATTGTGATCAGTTCTTTCACCGTGGGAATAATGGCTCCCATTCCAGAAAAACAAAGTACATTAATTTATTGTTTACTCCTTTTAAACAGTTTTTTTAAGACTGTATTTTAAGTTTATAAAATTGGTGATGCATAATTTAAAAAATCAAACATCTAAAACAATCACTCAATCTGTCTGTCAAATCTTAATTGCTTTGGGTCTAATTTGTGTTGTCTTAAACCAGGGGTAGGCAAACATGGCTCTTTTATGGTTCATGGACCTCAACTCCCAGAATTCCTGAGCCATCCATGCTGGCTCAGGAATTCTGGGAGTTGAAGTCCACAAGTCATAAAAGAGCCAAGATTGCCTACCCCTGTCTTAAACCAATAGGTCTTATTGGATTTGAAGACTTCAATAGACATCTGGATCTAGCCTTTTTTCAATTCTTTCTCCCTTTCTCTTCCTTTCCTTGTACTTCTCATGGAAGTACAGTTAGGTCAGAAATTCAGATCATATCAGAAGTTGTTTGTGACTTGTAACTTATTAAGAGCAAGGCAGAAAAACCCTAATCTCTCTGGCATTTTCCCAGCCTCATATTTATATTTCTCCTATACATGGTGAATATTATACACCAGTGGTAGCGAACCTATGGCACATGTACCAGAGGTGGCACTCAGTGCCCTCTCTGTGGGCACGTGCGCCGTTGCCCCAGCCCTGTCTCCCCCCCACAGCCTCCTCCTCACCAGCAGCCCCTCCAGAGGAGAGTCGCCCCCGGGCGTGGAGCAGCGCAGCCAAGCACATGGCAGGTGGGCAGCAGGGACAACTCTGCCCTTGTGCTGTGTTGTGCAGATGATGTTGCGGGGCACGAGCGGAGGGTGTGGCCACTGTGGCACTACAGAGCCACTTGGGCGATCTGGGTCGTGGAGGTGGTAGGTGGTCTGGCAGGTGGGGCAGGCCGGGGCTGGGGGTGGAGCGGGCGGGGTGGTGGTTTTTGGGCACTCGATCTCTAAAAGGTTCACCATCACTGTTATACACTGTATAACCAATCAATTAAAATGATTCTTCACAAACAATGCAAGATTTCAATGAGGAAACCATATAGTATAAAATAAGTGTTTGTTTGTGTGAGTCCTGGCTATAAATCCTACCTTTAATCAGCTGGGTATCCCAGCAAAATTGCTAAGATGGGTGGGAGATCTCTCTCTTTTTCTCTGTTTCACACAAACCCTGCTGCTTTATTTTGGCTCTTGGTCTAAAATCATCTAGTGAATTATAGATATGCAGTTCTGAACATGTCAGAAGAAAATTCTTCCCTTGTACAAAGCTATTTTGGCCAGAGGTCCACATGATATCTTGTGCTACTTGGAGATAAACTTTCAGCAAGGATATAAAAGGTGAGCTTCTGATGTGGCTACTCTCCATGTGCCCATAGCATGCAGTGATATTTGAAGAGTCTAGTTGTTTCTGGATCAGTGAAATTATTATAATCACATAGAAGAAATCACATAGAAGAATCACACCCATGTGATTCTGTAGGCTAGGAAAGAAGTAGTTTCTTTTGAGATTTAGGGGCATCTGAAAAAAAATCTCTTTTGAAATAGTTGAATTACTTTCTATGTGTAAGTCAGTAATACAGATTGAAATGATATTAAGGAGCTTTCTGTGTGATACCTTCAGTTAAAAAATATCCTCCATGAAACACTATGCTAGATAATATCATTCATAGTGATCATATAATTATCTATAGCAGACATGTCAAACTGCTGGCCCGTGGGCCGGATGCATCATACTGAAATCGCGCCCATCCTATTGTCGGCAATGGGGAAAAAGTCACGATACATCGCGTGACATCACATGACATCGCAAGTTTGACATGCCTGATCTATAGCATTCCAAAAAATGCCTTCCTTTTTTTAAAAAAAAAATTGTAGAAGAGCCAAAATGTCACTTACCTTGCTTTTAGGTTAGTGCACAAAACAATCAACTTGTGCGTTTCTAGATTTGAGGTTATGCATGAGCCACAGCAGATCTAGAACAAGAATGCCCTGAGTAATTAAGGCTTATAAAACCTCTTTAGTTCCAAATGGTTTATGCAACTTAAGAGGTTGGATAACATACTAGAAATGTTTTCAGCTCCTCAGCAGAACATTACTTTCCACTGAGCATAATAGCATTCCTAGTCCAAGCAAGTCTGTCTGACGGAAACAAAATAGCAATAGCTTCATGCTCCAGAAGAGATGCTGGAATCTGCAATCTAGTTGATTGCTTCTGGAGAAAAGACGTTCTGTGGGAAATGCAAGCAAGTGCTTTGAGCCCCTGTATTTTGCATCTATTTCCCTGTTATCTCAAAACAATTATCTTGCTGCGTATTTTCATATACTCTGAAAGCTATGTTTCCTCCCACCCTCCAAAGTGCATTCCCAATAACTAACATTATTTAGACTGTATAATAGCACAGAACTCCCAAAAGTGCTGTTTCTCCCAAAAAGGCAACTAGACTTTGTTTTTTCCCTTTTCCTTCTCATCCATGAGGCTTCTTCATGAGTTGAAGGAGCTTCTTGGATGAAAATCAAAACATCTTCAAGGAAAAAACAAAGTCCAGTTGCCTTTTGGAAAAAAAGCACTTTGGGAACTATAACCTGGATGACTGAGAATCTCCATAGACAACAGCACGGAACTGCATGATGAGGATATAATGGTGGCCATGACTTTACTTAAATTGACAGGTTAATTTTAAATGCCTACCAAATCTGTGAACAAAATATTTTTATTTTGCTTTTTAAAATGCTATACAGCCATTAAAATG